CCTCCGCCACCCCCTCCAAGCATAGAGCCTCCACCACCGCCCCCGCCTCCTAAACTGCGTGCCCTGCGTGCGACATGTTCAAGTTCGATTGGTTCTACAATCTGGGCCTAAAAAACCTCATTTTGGCTCAGAAATCAAGTGAGTAGATGTTTGCTTACCTGCGCGCCTTCTACCAGTTTGTGTGCCCCGGGGGTGGCATGAAAAGCCATTAACACCAAGCACACTACTTTTAGGTAAAGCATCTTGCAAGGGTTTGACTGAGTGCGACCTGATTTATTTATATAGTTTTTGAATATTTGATTATTGATCTATGATCGATGTTAGTCTGGGGGCATATGTGAGTTTTTATAGTAGATTGTGTCGGTGGAGGCAAGCAGTGATTTGAAGCCACTTTCAAAAGCAACTTGAGGCCCTCAAGGGCTGCTAAAGGGGTCGGAAATGTGGAACCATCCCAGCTTAGGAAAGGTGGAAAAAGTTTAATAGAACGTCAAAGTTTTGCGGATACTTTTGCTCCTCCTATTAAACGTTATTCTAGTGGAACCACTTATCTGCTGATGCCTTTTGAGGGTTCAAAGATTATCAAGTCCAATAGTTTTTACGCTGCATTGCACTAAAAGTGGCGTGTGTAATGTTTTCTTCAATTAATCAGAGCATTCAATGGCTTGTTTGTTTGGCGTCCAGATCTCAACTTTTGAAAAACTTTCCAGTTCAGATCCACCAGTTATTATTTTATTATACATAATTTAGAAATAATCATCCAAATACGACCGTGTGCTCAATTGGGGATAGTGGCGTTTCTCCTTCAGCCGCTTAGAGTCCAATTGGGCGATCCTCTTGATTGGAGGTGGCGGTTCGAAGACGATCTGCGACCAATTGAAAATGTGAGGGTAATGAGCGCGCTGCTTCCGCAGCCAATCATGCTGCGGGCTTTGTAGGTAGGTGGAGCCCTGGTTGAACACGCCCAATTGATCTGGATCGAGCGCCTATCAGCGGACAAACGGAAAACCGAGAAAAATTACCTTGAGTATCGGCCATTTCGATGATTTTTGCTGAAAAAATGACACTTCTCGCAGGAAATCAGACACTAGCTGGTATCAAATGTATATTGATTAACATTGCTGAATGTTAGTGGTAGAAAATACATTTAGACTTACACCTAACTTAAGTAACTTTGAAAAAACACACAGAACATAAAGGCTACTATTGGAATAAAATAGTAGTTCGCAAAAAGTCCCAGTCTAAGCATATTAATTGAATCGGTTATGGCACTGCGGTGAAACTGATTGAATACTGCAGGCGTTAAGTATGTGCACATTCTGTACATTTTATACATAAAAATACTCTATATAACTATACGGATGTGACTAGGTATTGAGGTTTGGTGCAACCAATTAGCTCCAAACAGGGAATGCGCCATCCACATGTAAACGGCTGAAGTGGACAGCCGCAGCTGTCCTTGTCGAGAATTCTTAGGCTCTTTGGCGGCCCACTATCAGTCATCTTTCTTCACAGACTCTTTCTTTTCCGGCGCGATGAAGAGCATATTTGCAGTCACGATAATCGGGTAAACCACTTTGTCAAAGGACATCACTGGCACTTCTTGGCCTTTGGCGAGGCTCAGAAGCATGATGTTGGACTCTTTACTGTAAGTGATTTGTTTCTGCTCGTTCAACCGAACCACTCGAAACCTGCAAATGAGTGTCCAACAGTTAGCAAAAATGGAGCTGACTTTGAACTCTGCTCTTACAATACGGCGACGTTCCGCTGGGTCTGAAAGCTGAGCAACTGCTCCAACTCAGACCGGTGGTTGCGCCTCACGCTCAGCATGTTGTTCTCTAGAGCCACTAGCAGGTCAACGCCGAAGTAAAACCCGGTCCAACGCCAAACGTGCCGTTCTGCCGTTAATACAATCCGCCCACATCGCACGCTCTGCTTAAGGAAGTCCGCTTCCGAGACCTCCAAAGGCCTAAACAACACCATTTTTGTTGCAGGAAAACAGTTAAAAGCCCGCGAAATTACCCCTTATCCTCGTTGTGGTTCACTCGCAGCATGTTGTCCCATTGCTGAATCACCACCGTGTTCAACCAGCTCTTCGGAATGATGTTGTCGCCAAGAATCAGCTCGATATCCAAATGATGGTTGATGAGGTTGGGAATCCGCAGTTCCTGGAACACGTTGACGAACTGACGCCCTTCCGGCGTGTGCAGAAACGGCGTTTTATCTGCATGTTAAGTCACAACTACTTAAAACCAGATCATAGAGTATGAAGAAGTGAGCTGTTTACCTGGCCGCTGGCTGAAATATTCAGCGACCGCAGAAGCGGTGGGTTTGGATTCCTCGGGATGGTGGATCAAATAAACCCAATGCTTCAGCATCACATAGAGAGAGCACTCGGTCTGGATCGTGCAGAGGTCGGGCTGCGCCATCAAAGTTTCCATCAGGGACACGGGAATGGTACGCAGATCTTCATCAGACTCCTGGTAGTAGTAAGGCATCAAGTTCACCAAGAACCATCTAATGCAAGCGTCCTCGAGCTTCTTGTCTCCGTATAGGCAGGCGGCATTGTAGTAATCCAGGCATGTCTGCAGTTAAAAGAGCGTTGACAACACAATGGAACGAGTGAGCTAAACAGCCACCTTGGGGTTGATCGTTTCCAACATCAGTTCAGTGCATTGCTCGATCAAACCATCCAATTGGAACATGGTGGCGGTTGCCATGATGGGAAGCACTTCTAAGGGGTTCAGCACCACTTCAGCCTCGTACAGCGACCCGAAAACCACCTTCAATGCTAGAAAGATTCACATAAAAAAATGGAAAAAAATCGATCTTGCGATAAAGATTCAATTCAATTAATCCCATCAGACCAGGATGTTGGGTTAAACATACAGTCCTGCGTGATCGCGGGATCAACCACGTCAATTGTGATGTACTTCTGCGTAGTCTCCAACCAGGAGCCCCCAAACATGCTGCCAAAATAGGGGCTCTGGCACAGATACACTCTATGAAGGTAGTACTCTTTCCCCAAAGCACACACTGTTACGTCCGAGTTCTTGCCCTCGACGAAAAGGGCCTGGTAGATGTACTTGGCGGTGCATGACAGCTTGATTCTGAGAGAAAATTGTCGCTTAAAATGCCGTGCAAGCCAGGAAACCATGTTGGCTTACTTTTTCGGGGTGTGCAAAACGATATCAATAACCTTATTCAGCTCGTCCTCCTCACTCTCCAATCGCTTCCTCTTCGTGCCACTGACAAAGTTAGTCATCGTGTTCAAAATGGCCTGGGACGAGAAGTTGGACCCCATTCTAGCCGCCGTACTAACAGCAAATGCACTTTCTGACAAACCGCCCCAAGCAATGTTTTTCCAGCAGCCTGATTATGCAACTGGTTGTCTCATTGGCAATGAGGAGAAATTGAATAATTAACAACTGCGGTCAGTGAACACTTTCTCTGTTGTTTGCACACACTCGTTGGGTTAGGACCATTTGTTAACATTGGTTGTAGACGGTGATTGAATGGGGCAAAACAGGCCAAAAGAGAGTGAAGGCAACGAGGTCAAATGGGTAGTTTTTCCCGGTTTTAAGCCCCAATTTTCCATGCACCGAACTATCACAAACAAGCTTTCCCCAGAAATCGCACTCATGATCTGTCTGTCAGAAATGGGTCAATATAATGCCTGCTTGCCACACTGGGCGCGAAAACTTCATGTTGCTGATTTTCTCCCGCTAAAACTAGCTCAGTATTCAGCGGTTCAGTCCTAATTTGTACCGTACCAGATTTGGCCATATTTACGCACATCAATTAAACCCTCTTCTCTTATTCACAGACCATTCAATTACAGCCGAAGCTTAATTTATTTAGTAGCAGTGATTCACTTGCAGGTGTTCGGCAACTGCGCCCACCTACGGACAGTAAACATAACCATACTTGTCTTTATCTATGAACATAACCTCCACCTTGTGTCATGGATGGACAAAAATAGTCAACACCCGATTAAATCCAGTTCTTCCGGAATGTCGTAACATGCACCCCTTGGCTTTTGTTGATCAACATGCTGAAAATAAATCGCCTTATTCCGGCCGCCAGGGATTGCACAAAACTCCAGCCTCTAATATATCCCGGGTTGAGTGGGGATCGCCAGCGACGCCCCATGTCATGGCAGGCCTCCGTGCAGTCGATCGCGGCCACGCAGGCAGGGATTTTCAAGACAATCTCCGAAAGTGCCCCAGTGGAGTGTTGCCAAAAGTATCTGCTGTATGTGCACGAGGTTTCTGGGCTGCCCTGGTGGGCCAGCTTAGTGATATCCACCGTAGCCGTCAGGTAGCCCCAGTGTTCCAATGAAGCCCCATTGCCCCAACCTCTTGGTTACAGATCAGTAGTTACGCTGCCGTTGGCTGTTTACCAGCAGACTATTTTGGCCAAGCTGGAGAATCTTAAGCAGGAGCTGCCGGCGATTGCCGAGGAGCTGAGGCATGAAACCAACGTGGCAGTGAAGCTGTTCAAGTGGGACGAGAGGACTGCCAAGGCGGCGTTTAAGGCTACAGTAAGAGCGCAAGCAACTCTAATGAAAGGGGGTTGAGAGCTAACCTGCCTGTTTAACCCCTAGATGAAGCAGCAGTGGAACCGGTTGGTAGTGAGGGACAATTGCCATCCATTCAAAACCACCGTGCTGCTGTGGTTCCAAATACCGCTTTGGGTTTCGCTCTCAGTGAGCTGGCGAAACTTAACGTATATGCTGCCCGTACCAGATTTGGCCGCGCAAATCACCTACTCCGAGCTGGCAGTGGGCGGGTTTGGCTTCATCCCCAATCTGACCGTGCCGGACGCTTCCTGGATCTTCCCAGTTGCACTTGGGGTGGCGAATCTGGCCATCATCGAAGTAAGCCCGCGCGCAAAGTGCCCACCAACTACTGAAAAACTGGTTGATTAGTTGCAGCTTCTTTCCAGAACGTCGGGGCCCAGATCCCGCACTCAAACGGTCATCACCAACGTGTTTAGAGTGTTAAGCGTGGTAATGGTGCCTATAGCGGCTTCAGTACCTTCGGTAGGCTCTGGGAGGCTCAGAAGCGGCTTGTGCTAAAGGGGTTGTTTCAGTGCCTGGCGCTCTACTGGACCACATCCAGTGCCTATGGACTAGTGCAGAATCTAGTGCTGTTATCCCCGAGGGCTAAGCGGCTGTTCAAGGTGCCTGAGACTTCGGTGGAAGTGAAGGAGCCCTACAAGTTAATTGTGACCAATTTGAAAACTAAGCTAAAACTCTCTTAGGACGTAAGGTAATACAGAGTTTATTCAAGATGAAAAACGCGTCATTATTATTTGTGAAATTTCACCTGAAAGTTTCCTCGTTAATCGTGAGAGGAAAGTAGATTTATGACAGGTAAATGAAAGTATTTGTTTTTGTCCTGCGGTTGCCATAGTAATTGGTTGATTGGTTGCACAAAAGTGAGCGAATTGTCACTGAAACTTCAACAAACAAGTTTGTCAGTGGCAACTCTTACCTTGACACTGTTCCCGTGGTCAATATTGAGAGGATTTCGAGCCCTTTCCGGCGTCGTATTGATTATTTTCCTGCATTTTCCTCTTCCTCCTCGCCTGCGGCCGCTGGCTTCACGTGGAACTTGAAAATGTTTGTGTTGATTGCAAAACTCATCAACAAAACATAACACTCTCTTCGGCCATGTCCTCGCTGCTCCTGCTATGGGAAACCACTGTTGCCAGGAAAGTCAATTAAACAGGTAATCATCCTTAAGGTTTATGTTTTTTAAATACGCTTTAACTGGCATTTAGACGAAGGCTGGCGCTGCTTCTTGTGGGGCTGGACAATGCAGGCAAAACGGTAGCCGCTAAAGGCCTGGCTGGGGAGCCCATAGACTGCCCCATACCCACCATAGGGTTTTCCGTGATCGAACTGAAGCATTTGCAGTATGATGTGAAGATTTTCGACTTGGGTTAGTCCTGTGGGGTGAGTTTGGGGCGCTTAATGTTGGGCTATTTCAGGCGGAAGCAGCAACATCAGGGCCATTTGGTGCAAGTACTTTGTCGATGTGCATGGCGTGATATTTGTGGTGGATTCATGCGATGAAACGCGCTTTCATGAGGCCCGTGGCGTTCTAGAAGAAATTCTGAGCAGCGACAAGATCAGCGGAAAGCCGCTGCTGATCCTGGCCAATAAGCAGGATCAGGAGGCGGCCTTGGATGAGATCGACCTGATCGAGTGCCTGCATATTGAAGAGCTAGTCAACCGCTACGAGTGCCCCGCTTTGGTTCAGAGCTGCTGGTAGGGAGTTTTTTTAAATAAACAAATCCTCTAAAATCTCCTTTTTAATTGAACAGCGCCAACTACAACAAAATCGACCCAGGAATCAAGCAGGGCTACGAATGGATTGTCAACTACGTGGACAACAACTACGAGCTGCTTAACAGGCGCGTGCAACTCGACATCGTCGAGCAGGAGATCAAGGAGAAGCAGGAGATGTTGGAGCGGTTGAGACGCATCAAGTTGGAGCGCGAATCGCGCCTCGGTAGCGTCGACCCCAACGCAATCCAGACCTTTTCCGAGTACGCCTCCCAAATGAACGGCGACGCCGTAAAAGACGCCAACGACCTGCAGATGGCCGACTTTTACCCGAACCCAGAAGAACCCAAAGCGAGCGACCACAGCACCTCCAGTTCCATTACGTTCCCGGAGGTTTACTACGTTAACAGCTTCGGTGCGGAGCGGGAGCGTCCTCAAAGCGCTGTCCAGATCGTAAAGCGTCAGCTCCAGATGGGCGCCGAGTTGAGGAGGGCGCAAAGCGCCAAAACCCGCCGGAACAAAACGGCGCCCGCCGATCCGATGCTAAACCGCGAGTTTATTCCCAGACGACCGTCCAGGAGCCACGCTTTTACTATTAGCCAACCAGACATGGGGCCTGGCGGCGATTGTTATCCTCCAGCGGTTTACCATGGGGAAGTAGAGGCACGATTTGAGCTGAAGAAGTTGAATGTGAAGCACCCCGCGCGGTTCAGTGGCGAGGATGGCCAGAACGGCATGTGCGTTGTGAATGTGGAGTGAGGTACTGATTTAGTGTTTAGTGATTTTATATTTTTGTAAACGTTGAAGGGGGTTTACTAAAAAAAATTGCACGAATTTTTCCTGTCCTTTTCAATATTTTCTCCAACTTTTGCTTAAAAAAAGCAGGAATTTTTTTTTCTGGTTTTTTTAAATTTTATACAGAAATTTCAACCATTTTTTTCAGTTAATTAGTTAATTTTGCTACTATACCAACATATCTCGTTCCCTTTTAGACATGTTCGTTCCTTCTCGCTTTCATTATCAGGAGAGTTTTTTTTTGTTTGCCCGGCGCAAGGGCGGATCTAAGGGGGTCATGACACCCCTCCCCCCATTCAATTCTCTATCCAACGATGCCAAAACGAATTCTGTGGCTCGAATGGTTCTTGAGAAACCTCGAAAAAAGCAGCGTCATGTTCAAGTGGATTTTGCAACTCAAAAAAAAACCGCGCAAATCTAAAACTTCTTGAATTCAAGCATTTTTTGAGAAAACTGTCAACATTTCCTTATCGATGGTTCACTTTCTAAAAAGGCCATTTATTTCTGTCTTGAATGATGTACACATGAGCGTTCTTGCTCATTTTGCCTCCGAGATATGAGCAAAAACGGGACGGAAAACATGGAATTTTGGCATAATCTTGCTCCAAGTGTCTGATATTCAAATTTTCCGATGATTTTAAATATGAAACACAAAGAAGCTTGCAGATCCAAAAAGTAACAAACCACAGAACAGACCCCCATAGGGGGGATATTTAGAATAGTCAGTCAACTGTCTGTCATCTGTCCCCGAGTCACAAAGGTCAATTTCAGCCGCCGAATGTCAGAAGAGAAGTAGGTTCCTGTAGAATTGCCACGGAGGTTCAGGTTTCATGCACTGGATTAGTAGTTCTGTGGTTTGATCGTCTCCACAGAATATCCCCCAGGGGGGTATTCTGTGGCCCTCTCCATTCACTATCTGCATTCAAAAACACGTTCGGTTGACTGGATTGGCCAGAGACAAGTCTCCGGATTGGTTGCCTATTCCCGTCAAACCTGACGTGTTTACTGTTATCAGCTTGTCTTGTGTTTATCAAAATTCCAGTGATTTAATCCAGAACAACTGCACTGAACTACGTGGACAGCGTCCGCTGGACTGGTTGCCATGTCCTTGGAAACCCGATACAACCTAAAGAGCCCCGGTAAGCACGATAAACTCGTGTGGGTTTAATAGGTTAAGGCACCGCAAAACAAACCCCCGATTGATCAAGTGGGGCTTAGTTGTGGGCACAGCTGTAATGTTGGTTATCGTCTAGGGGTGAAACGCCTCATGAGGGAAGCGTTGGAGCTGGCCAACCCTACCGAGGAATACCATGTGTGTCCTTTGGAGGACAACCTGTTTGAATGGCACTTCACAGTGAGGGGGCCCTCAGAGACGGAGTTTGAGGGGGGTTATTATCACGGCAGAATTCTGCTGCCCCCGCAGTACCCTATGCAGCCCCCCAATATCATTTTACTGACGGTGAGTGTTTTAACTGATGTTAAGAACGGGGGAACTTGTCTGGCGTTGTTCGCTCGCTTTGAAAGATTGGAGTTTTGTTCCAGCCAAACGGGCGTTTTGAAGTAAATAAAAAGATCTGCCTCTCCATTTCCGGTTTCCATCCGGAAACGTGGCAGCCCTCTTGGTCGATCCGAACAGCTCTTCTGGCCCTGATTGCCTTCATGCCGTCCAAAGGTAATTGCCCTTAATGGCGCTTCTTTGAGCGTTGATGTTTCCCCTTGCACAAGGTGCTGGAACCATTGGGTCGTTGGATTACACGCCCGAAGAGCGGCAATTGCTTGCAAAGAAGTCCAAAAGCTGGGAATGTCCCACTTGCGGGAAAATCGCCGACACTTTAGTCTCGGCAGAGAAAACGCCGGTTTTAACCCAAGAGGAGAACAGCATGCTGCAAACGATCACCCTGAAGGTGAGCCAGTAGGGCGCCGGGTTTATTCAGCTCAGGGCTTGATTTTAGACAGAAGAGGACAAGAGTGAAAAGGCACCGCCTGCGGAAGAAGGCGACGAAGCTGAAACCGTTAAGTCGGACATCTCGCAGGATCTGAGACAGAGAAATGTGCCGAGCACTTCGCAGATGCAAACTCAGGTCGTGGACGATATCCTCAGAACCAGCATTGAGAGGAGCAACAGGTAAAGTCCCCAAGAGACTGTAGGGGCTGGATGCGAGTTTTCGAGTTTTTCGGCTTTCAGAGACAAATTTTGGAAAGTCATCATTAGCATAATCGTCGCCCTCATAGCGCTTTTGGTTCTGCGACGGGTGCTGTTTACGTAACCCTCAGTTTTGTTGGGCAGAACCAAGCTTGCGCTATCGCCGATATTCCAGGATGTTTCCAGTATTATTTTAGCTTAGTTTCTACATACAGTAGATGCAATCGGTTCGCATGCATTGTTGTTGCGTGTATTGAGGAAATAATGTACATTTATCCAGTAGGTGTTTGAATAAACGTTGTTAATGTAAATCAGCTAGAAGTGTTGGAGCAAGTCCCCTTAGGCGGACAGTCCGGTTCGGGCACGCAATTGTCCTGGCAGTCCCGGGCGAAGCCCGGGCAACAGTAGCAAGAATCGTTGCAGCGAATATTCACGATGGGGCAAACTTGCCCTAAGGTTTCGCATGTGTTTTGGCAAGCAGAGCCGCATAAGTAGTGCTCGTTCGGTCTGCTGCAGTTGATCCATTGTATTCCTGAAATGTGCGTGTTTTTAGTTGCCAAAGGCTTGCCACTGCTTACCTCCAGGCGGGCGAGGGTCGTCCGGTCCGGGATTGGGGCAACCGCAGCTCAAAGCCGCTAAAACACTCAAACTAGCAAAGACGCGCGCGGCAGGAAACATTTTTGTGTACTGCAGTTTTCCGCGTTTTTTGTGTGCAAACCGATACGTTGTTCAGTGGGGAGCCAAGGCCGCCAATATAATGCATTTAAGGCTTTTTCCAGCGTTATATTTGCAATAATTATCTACCCGCGTGACTCATTCCCATTGTAAAGCTGCAACGAGCTGATAGTCGCAGTCGCATTGTTTCTTTTGCCGGCAATTAGTCAGATTAAACACATTAGCGGCGTCTCAGGCAATCAATTGTTTTTGAATGTTTACGCAAATGAGGCATTTATGTGTACATTTTCACAGGTTTTGGGTATTTGGGAAGTTTATTAATTGCCAATTATCATTTAGCTTGGGGGGCTTGAAAAACCCGGAACACGTCATAAAGCTGGCAATTAGGAATGAAACTTTAGTTTAAAATGGGGAAATTCCGCATCTGTTTTCATCAAAATGATTATAGAATGACTGTTGGCTTCGATGTCTTTCAAAGTGAAGTTTTAGATGATAGAGAAAAGGACTCAAAAGCAGAGAGACTGAGACGGTTAGATGCAGGGGCGGATCCAGCTTTAAAGTCAGGGGGGGGTTATGTAGAAAAAATACGGTCTTCTGTTGTTTATGAACGAAAATGTTGAGGAAATTCGAGTAGTTTTGACCCAGAAAGCGAAATTTGAATTTCACACACTTAGGTGCAAGATTTTGCCAAAATTTCATGTTTTCCGTCCCATTTTTGCTCATTTCTCGGAGGCAAAATGGGCAAGAACGCTCATTTGCACATCATTCTAGAGAGAAATAAATGGCGTTTTTAGAAAGTGAACGATGGATGGGGAATTGTTGGCAGTTTTCTCAAAAAATGCTTAAATTCAAGAAGTTTTAGATTTGCGTGGTTTTATTTGAGTTGCAAAATCCACTTGAACATGCCGCTGCTTTTTTCGAAGTTTCTCAAGAACCATTCGAGCCACAGAATTGGCATCGTTGGATAGAGAATTGAATGGGGGGGGTCATGACTCCCCCCCCTGGATCCGCCCTTGGATAGATGGTGCATTCACTATTTTGACGGTTGATGAAACTCCCCTTCCATTCAAACAAACGACGTTAATTTGAAAAAAAGCGCAATTGTCCTAAATACTTGTCAATTTGACAGCTATAATGCCCATCTGCTGTATAAATAAAATTGGTCCCAAGGCGATAAAATACATGTCATTTCCTACAACATCATGCCAGATCTTCGAATTTTTCCTGGAACCCAGTATTGTCGACCCCTTCGATCTGCTTAATCCCCAGGTCCTCCTTCGCGTAGTTCCAGGGCTGGATCTCTGCCGAGGCGAAGGCCATGAAGAACAGCCCGCAGGCAATATAAACTGCGGCGCCGATGTAGAAGATTATGTGCCATTCTTTAATGCCATTCTATGGTGGAAGAAACCGGTGAGATTATTCGGTTAACCACTAAGACTGTTGACGTACATGATCGGACGTCAAATAGCCCACTACCATTGGGCTGATGATGCCAGTGGTGCTGCCGACGCAGTTTGCGATCCCATAAAGGCTGCCTGCAAAGTTGGGGGCCAAATCCTGCGCATTGGATAGGTTAGTAATGGTGCTGGCGCCATTAAAGGCCAGCGACAGCGTCAGCAGGACTGTCACCCAGGTCGCTTGGCAACCGACGAGCGTCTGAGCGATCAGAAGACAGCCAGGCACGATGTGAGCTGAAGCAGCGCGATTGCAATACTCACTCACTCCCCGATAGGGAACGACTACTTACAGAAGATCACAAAACTCTTGCGAAGCGCCGTTTTGGACAGCAAGGCCCGGCGGACGATCAGGTCGCCGATGGCCCCAAATGAGAACCCGGCGATCATCCGCGCCAGGTAGGGAAGTGCGGCTAGGAAGCCGGTGTGTCCCAAATCGAAGCCCAACACGCTGGACATGAACTTGGGACCGGCCGTCATCAGGAAAAACAGCCCCCAAAGGTTGCCGAATTGGGCGACGCACAACGCCCATGACGGCACGGAGAGGAAGATCGACTTGTATGGAGGAATGCGCTGGGGAAATCAGATTTCAGTAAATAGTGCTTTAGTTGATTCAAAAATTCGGCCTGGTTGTCCGCTTATAGGCCTATAAAGAGTCGGTCGTTCTCGTGTCATTTCGGTGATTCAGTGCGGCGTTTAATGGCGGGTGGGTGACACAGCTCGTGCTTTGGTCGCTCGGTTTTTTGATAAATTCCGGGTTTTTTGCGTTTGCGCCCGATAATTGCTGATTTTCGTGAAGCGGGGATTGTTTTTCACAGTTTTGTGATGTTTTCGCGACCGGTAGTGCGCTTTTCACGGAAAAAAACCATTTTTTCCCAGTGGAGAACTTCTGACGTTTACTGTCAAACCCGTGCAGCGACAGTGAAACGCGCCTACTAGCCATCAAACTGGGATATTTCTGTTGTTCAAGTGCTATTTGGGTGCCCGAAGACTTTTTGGATTCTTCGACTATTTGGACAGCGAAAGTTACTTGAAGCAAAAAGGTGCTTTCCCGGTATATTCCTTGTTATTGAACTTTTGGAGGACCTTATTAGTAGGTAATATAATAATAACATTTGATTATTTTATGAACGAGCGCAAAATTGAGTCTGCACAGAATACATCTGTACAGCCGGACTGTATACTAAGGAAAGAATACCAAAAGTAAATTAAATTGAATACCTTCTGGGTCGAAACTGTGCCAGCCAAACTGTGGCTGATGTACTCCTTTTCCGCGCTGCTGATCCAGGGATGTTGTTCAGGTGAATCGCGCACGAAAATCACCCACAGAACCGTCCAGAGCAGCCCCAAAATGCCGCAGGTCCAGAACGCCCAGTTCCAGCCCAGATGCTCGATAATTGCGCCTAAAACCCCCATTTAAGCACCCAATTGCACTCAGAGCCCCGTTAATTACCTAGAAGGGGCCAGGTGAAGACTGTGCCCAATGAGCTGCCCAGGGTGGCGCTGATGAATTTGCCCTTTTCGGCCGGCGGCGCCCATTTGGCGATCAGACAATGTACTGCTGGATACACGATTCCCTAAAAAAGTTACCGGGTTACCATCGTTGAGTCCGGGCAGTTCTGAGCTTGCCTACCCCCAGCAGGCCGATCACAAATCGGTTGGCGATCAGCAGATAGGGGTGCACGGAGGCGCACAAGGGCCCAAAGAGCGTCAGAATGGAGCTAAGGGTGAAAGAAACGGCCACGGAGTTGCGGGGGCCGTATCGTTCGGCTATGGCTCCTGCTGGCATGTTGCTGATGAAAAATCCCCAAAAGTAGGAGCCTAAAACCAGGCCCTGCAGGTTGGGGTCCCAATCGAATGTGGTTTCTGAGCGTCTCTGAGCGCTGATGGTTTCAGTGTTTTTGATCGTGGCATTGCCGTAAGGCGCCAGGCATTCGGGCAGGGATTGCGTGTCATTGTTGCCCCTGTCTGAGTCCACCATGGCCAGGAGAATGAGCGACATGTTGGTTCTGAGCATGTACAAGAACAACGTGCAGGTGAACAGTTTGACCCATATTATGCTCCTGATCGGGATGGAACCTGCGCACGGTTGAAGTTTAAATGGGGAATGTTTTGTTAAAAACGGTTTACTTACTGGGCGTTGGTGAGTTCACTATAGTCATTTTGAAGCCGGATCAGTGTGAGAACATGCCGCACTTATGGCGAAATATGTCGTTGATGCACAACGCGCTCACTGTACGGAACTGAACGGTTTTCGAAATCAGGTGCCTAATTGCTATGGCTGTTTGAATAGAATCACTTTATAATTACATGGAACCAATTCCGAGTCGGAATTTTCTAATTATTGGTGCCCAATTATTCACAAAATGTTCTTGATGTCCGATTAAAAGTAGTGGCTTGTCACGGAACCCGCATTGAATTTTTTATATTACGGTCATCTAGCAGAAACTCTGAGCCGCCGGTGAAAACTTTTTCCTTAGTTTTAAGCCTATTGCATCATAGACTGGTCCCAAAGAGCGGTTCCGCTTCTCATTCACTCACTCAATCAGCAGTTTGCAGCGCGTCACAGTAACGCGATTGTTAAATTTTATTCGCTTTTTTCGATAACATTCCGGTCGATTTCGAACATTTCCATTTGACAAATATCACTAATAATCGCCTTCCTCAATGGTACCAGTTTCAAATTGGTTCAGGAACCTTGAAATTGGCGTGGACGCATTTGAATAACTAGCTGATGGGCCAGCGTCTGACCCCAAGTTTTCCTTTGGTTTTTAGCAGTGGGAAGTGGCACTCTTCACCTGATGGCACCGAAACAAGTCCGCAAATTTCGCATTGAAATTACTTTCCAGTGCAGATTAAACAGCCATTCTGCTTTAATTAGCGCTTAGAATGGTGCTGCGGTCAGCGAATGAGGCATCTAAACCGTTAAGTTTATTTGCCTGCAGCTCTTGGATATGAAAAATTCCTGCACTTTGGTTTTATGCCTGTTTTGAAAATGCATTTTTGCAGCAGGCAAGTGAAATTAAGCTTTCTAGTTCGAATTGGTTTTTCAATTAAATTGATACTGAGCGCGTGTGTGGAAAACTAATAATTTTCCGATTTAATTTTATCGAGAGACACATGCAATCTTTCATTCCCTGTGCAGGAGAATTTATTTAAACCACTTGACTTGAAGGGTTCAATTTTAAAATTGATCGCCTCCAAGGGCGTGGTTCGAACAAATTAATTCTAAATGGCAACACCACGGTTTTTTAACCAGTTTTCGCTGCCAGTGTGACGTTGACAACAATGCGCGTTCTATATCATCGTTAAAAAAAGCTAAAACAGTCCGCACAGGTGTGAAATTGCGCGTGAATGGTGTTCTAGCGATTTATTAATAAAGTTGATTCGCGACCAGCCACAATGACCTCTTCGGTGGCAATTCGCTACACCAGAAACCTCTTTTTGAGGTCGTTCTGTGCTGTGTATCTAGCAGTGTTCGTCTCAATATATTACCAGGCGCCAGGTAAGACGCGTAAACTAGACACTAATGTACCGTTAAAGTGGGCAGCGACTGGTCCTATGCTGTTTATGTAATAATTTAGATGTGGAAGCCGTAAAAGTGCTAAGTAAATTGACTGTTGCAGGCCTGTACGGGGACCATGGAGTGCTGCCTGCCAGGGCTGTGTTGGAAAACAGCCACTATAAAACGCTGTCTGCCAAAATCCACTACAAATCCACTCTATTATGGCTGGCCCCCTATTTGGGGCTGAGCACTAGCGCTGCTATCGACGTGCTGGCTTTGCTGGGCATATTTTTTGCGTTCACCGGGTCAGTATATGGAGCAACCATCTGCCGTTCTCTAAGAACTCTGTAAATTCCAGGCTGGTGTCCCAGAAGTTTTGCATTGTTCCCGTGTTTACTGCAATGTGGTCCTTGTTTTTCTCCATCTACCAGGTCGGACAGGTGTTTGTGGCCAACAACTAGTAAGTTTTTTATTGCGCACTATCAATTTACTATATCAGGAAATTCTATATGAAGTGTTGGGTTGCGCCCGGTACAGTCCGCTGGGTTTTAAAGGTCAACGAAGGTGTCTTTTTACAGTGACGAACTTCTACTGGAGGCAGGGTTTCTTGCTGTTTTTATTGCCCCCTTTTTACCCCATCGGCGCAAAGTGAAAACTCCCCATCTGGACATGATCAGTTTCTGGTTGTGCCGGTTTTTGGCCTTTCGGGTGCTCACCGGCAGCGTCCTAAAGTTGCTGAGTGGATGTCCCAAATGGTGGAGTTTAATGGGTTAGTTCAGCTTCAATCTATGGTGTTTGCCAAAAAGTCCCATTTTAGATAGAGGATAAATAAATGCATTTTGACTTTGTGTAGCCTTAAAGTCCTACTTTGAGACTATGCCGCTGCCCAGTCCGCTTGCCAGGATGGCCTTCGATTTGCCCTACTGGTTTCTGGAAGTGTCCACCGTCTACACCATTGTGTGCGAGCTGGCAGTGCCCTTTCTGTTCTTCTGGCCTGGACGCACGGCGAAGATCACCGCTTTCTATGCCCAGGTGAGGATTCCGACTAAAGTTGAATGTCCAGACGTGACTGTGTGCTTTTCTGCAGGTCTTGTTGCAACTGGGAATCTTGGCAACCGGCAACTTCGGGCACGCCAACAGCTTGATGATTGCGATCATGCTGTCGCTGTTGGACGATCAGTTTTTCTACGGGAAACAGAAGCCCCGAACCGTCCTCAACGTCTTGGACGTGGTTCTAACCGGGGTGCTATGGATTGCTCTGTTTTGCGGAACTGTCCACTTCTTTGGGCTGCGTTTCAGTACGGGTGGCGTGCGGGCGGAAATCAGTAAGCGGATTGGTTGCAGCGTCGACGGAAGTTCAAAATTTCTTTGCAGGTTTCACCAAAATGCAGTTCAGCACCCTGATAGAAAACGCGCTGCCATTGGTGGTCCTGCTCCTTATCGCCAGCTTCCTGCTGGTCGTTGCCAGGAGCACGTACCAAGTACTGTTCGGCCAAACCAACTCCTCCAGGAATCCGGTTTGGGGATTTTGCGTGACTGTTTTCTACACCATTGTGGGCGCACTGATTCTGACATCCAGTTCGGTGAGTGTTTTACAGCTTGTTTGGCACTTGAAGCTAATTTTGCCGGGTTTTAGACTTCGCTGCTGTCGCTGCACCCCAAGACCAACGCGACCGCAATTTCTTCCCTCCAAAGGGCTGCCTACAATCGGCTGCACAAAACGCACATTGTGAACGACTACCGCTGGACGCCCCAATTGGCTGACTATGGTGGGCGGCCGGAGATCATTCTGGAGGGCGCCAATCATGTGGACGGGCCTTGGAAGGAATACAACTTGCTTTTCAAACCGGGAAATGTCAACCAATCCTTGCCAATGCTTGGTAAGTAATAATTCTAGGCATTTTTAGGAGAGCACTAAGTCTTTTTCTCCCGCTTTTCAGGCCTCTACTTGCCCCGACTGGACTGGCAGTTTTACTGGGCGGCCCAAAGCACTGCCGACAAACAGCCCTGGCTGCTATCTTTAACCCACCGATTGCTGCATGGCAATCCCGATGTTCTCCACCTAATTGACAGCTCGGATTTGCCGTTTTCCACTCCGCCGAAGTACATCAGAGGCGTTCTGTACAAGTACAAGTTCCAAACGGCCATGTACGCTCCCATACGCCCGAGTTGAATGTGGCTATTTCACTGCGTTCAATTTGCAGGTTTAAAGGCGCGTGGTGGGTGAGGGAGCAAGTGGGCGAGTATTTCCCGGCCCACTCCAAAGATTCGCCAGCGCTGGAAGACTACCTGCGGGCGAGGAATTTGCTGCCGGCTGCAAAACCGCAGCCGCTCCATCCGGCGTGGAAACGCGTTTTGGACCCCATTCGCCAGTTGAGCAACCAGTTCGAGGGTTCCTTGCTCGTGTGGGCCGTGTTGGCCACCGCTTTCGCCATCATAGTCAGCATCAACAGCCGCTAAGAACTGACTGATCAAATCGAACCCCAGGACTGTCTCTCTGGATCTTTGGACTGTTTTAGACGGCAAGTTGCTTCGTTTTAACTTCGTTTAATCGTCAACTTGACCAGTTTAGGGTGTTTGTTCTCGAGCAGTGGAGTCCCCGGGCTGGTTTGTTCTTGCCCCATCTCTTGACGGTAGTTGTTTTTGGGTATCAATCACTCGCACTTTGAATCTGGGCATTGACTAATATTATGTTAAGTTTACTCATTAAGCAGTAGTTGGATTGTTTGCTCTCTGGCCTCAAACCACTGAATAATTTATAGACTGTCTAGGAAATCTCAATTGATGGATTGCGTCGTTTCGAGTCCACTTTTTACTTTTAAGATTGTACACATTTTATTCTACAAATAAACCGTCTAAGTGTCACGGTATCTGATTCAGTCCGATGTAAACTCGTCGAAAACATCGTCCTCATCGCTACCCTTATCCTCCAGGCACTCTTCCAACAAATGCAAATCCTCCAGTTCCGAATCAGCGTCCGCTTTCACGCGTTTCTGAGCCTTTTGGGGCTTCGGCTTGGCTTGTGAACGCGACGCCTCTTTAATAGTCTCCTGTATCTTCCTCTTAAGGCGCTCGGCCAAGCTCAGTTCTGGTTTCAACGCGGCTTTAGTGCGGATTTGTTTCGCAGCATTCGCAGGCTTATCCGAGCGCTTCTGATAGGTGGGTGTGGTGGGAACGGGATCGTCCAAATCCAGCCGGTTTAGGAGCAACGAGTTGGGACGCACCGAGGACATGATGGCCGGCACGGTGAAGATCGCGAAAAATCGGTTTTCAAATAGCTCACGATCGATTATGAGTTGATTGCGAACGGGCTCCGCTTGCGTGGCCAAGTGGTTGTTGATGCGCCATAACACCTGGCTTTCATGGGCTGCCCAGCTGTGTAAAAATCATGGGTTTAATCCGGATTTTTGTTGGATTCTCGGGGAAACTCACCCAAAGCCGGCGCTTGATTCGACAAGCTTCGCCTTGTAGGTGTTGTTTTCCAGCACCAGTCCCCGCATGCCATACAAGGTGCTCAGGCAAGGCGGGATCGGTCGATCGCCGCTCCTACTGCCGCTGGAATCGACCGCGTAAACCCCATTGGTTGGCTCTTTGTCCCAAATCATCACGTCGAGTAGGTCGCGGTCGATTTGGTCCAATCGCGGGTCTTCCTTGTAGTTGAGCGGCAGCTGCAGTTTGGCCTGCAGGAGCAACAACACTTCGCCTACGCCCCCTGGAACGGATTGCGGTGTTTTGAGGGTAAAATTTGCGGATTTTACCTCGTACTTGCGTTGATGGTGGGCTGTCCCATTGTCTTGACGCGATGAGCAAACTCGCGGTTCATGGCGTTGCTGAAGAAGTCCGTTAGAAGATCGTCGACGTCCAAGTTGGGGAGCGCCGCTTGCACGCTTTCACTTGTTATCATCCTGGGTTGTTTGCGGTTCTTCGCCCCGGTGGGTCTCAACTGCGATTTCCGATCGCCCTTTAGCCGCTTTTTGATGTCGGCCAATGTGGGGATTTGGCTGCAGTGCTGGAACTCATCGGCAATGTCCCTGCGAACCACTTGCTACAGCAACTTGAGGTGGACAATGTGAGTGAGTGAGTTACCTGAGATGTTGGTACTCGGATTCCTGGTCATCGATGCTGGTCCATTTGCGGCGCGGCGCTTGTTCCAAGCCGGCTGACGGCTGCTTTTCCAGGAAAACTCGTAGGGTTTTGTAGCGCTGTCTGATTTGGGCGCTGGATCGTTTCAACTTGGGCACCAGAGGTTTCCAGTTGCAGTCTTTGCTCTTGCGTTCGGCGACATAATCCAAGATGATTTTGTCCTCGTCCACGGTGAAAAACCCTGCCGATCAATGCAATTCGCTTGCGAATGAGAATGAGAGCTTGATTTTTAATGTACCTTTCTTAATGCTTTCCTGCAGGTTTGAAGTGTATCGCGCCTTGATCTGTACCATCGACCGGGTGGGGAAGTACTGGGCGCACCTGCTGAAGTACTTGCCGAACCTACCGGAGACTAATCGAGGTGAGTGGCGCCACGCTCAGATTCTATAAATACCTGTCGACCAGTACGAGAATTAGAATATCCTCAGCGGGGGTAAATTTGCCCTTTCGGATGCTGTCCTTGCAGCTCAGAAAGTATTTGTAGCGATAAAGCAGCTGGGCTCTGGAGCGTCCGAAGTTGTGCCGCGCCACTACGCGAGCCCACGACACCTCGTTTCCTAAAAAGGCGCCAGTTGCACGAGTTTTTCCCTGAACAGCCCGCAGTTCTTCTCACCATGTGTGAATTTCTCGACCAGGTGGCACAGCCGTTTGTCCTCTTCGGGGGTGAATCTTCCGGCCACTCTCGGCGGATCGGTTTGCAGGTAGTAGTGCACGCAGCACATAAAGCCAGTGCGATTGTTGCCGAGTTTTTCAGCTATGAGGTCCCATTTTTGGTGGTTGTAGCGGACGGCCAGTTGTTTCAATTGGTCGACTTCCTGGTCGGTCCAGCGCGTTTTGTTGATGTCTGGGTTTAAGTAGGTGTTCCAGAACACTTGGCATTCGACGTCGTTGTACCTAAAACATTGCATTTCGAGCAATTTGGAGCGAAATTCCCGCACACTGTATAACCGTTGGCTCTACTCACTTGCCCCTAAGAAACTTGTCGGATATTCGCCTCCAGTCCACATACTTCTCACAGCCCCTAGCTGGATACGCGGTTATCTTGCTCGAGCTTATTGCCTGGTGTTTCTCCTTCAGCTCCTGGATCTTGAGGGTCGTTGCCTCAACCTCCTGCTTTTTACTGGTTTTCTTGAGTACGTCCCGGAGTGCCTGAATCTGGCTCAGCAGCTCAGTCTCTCGGTTCACCTTGTACTGGAACGCCACCCCTAGAAAACCCTTTTGACGGTTTTTTTAATGGAATTTGCCCAATTTTACCGTTTAGCAGCCGGTTCATCTCCGACTGGGTCCATTTGTAGGACATTCTCAACTCATAGACCAAGATTTCTTTCTCTTGGTCCTTTCGGATGGCATCCGCATTCCTCGGACAGGGGAAGTGGTCGGCTGTCTTAAAGTACGGCATCCCCAATCTCCAAATTTTAGGGTTGGGCGTCTTGTTGGAGGACTTCAACAGGTGCGCGTCCCTTAGATCCGATATGTCCGAGTGGCAGTGTCCTAGGAGGTCTTTGACCGTTCTGTACAGTTGCATGAGTTGTATATTCTTGGTTCTATTCAAAACGAGCAGCTCCTTCAGTTCGGGATCAGTGCAGCAGTTGATAGTTTGCTTCTCCTCTTCAGTCATAAACTGCATGGGATCAGAGGGATGGTTGGTGGTCGGTTTGGGGCAGTTGCCCACTTCGAAGTCGTCAAACTATCAAAGCGACAAACGTTTGTAACGAACCAGGAATGCTTTAGAGTCGAGAACAGTTACCTCAAAAGCATCGTCCTCAGTGTCCGACTCTTCAAAGCCGCTGTATTCTGCAAATTCGGCGTCTTCCGGCTCCTAAAAAGTGTTTAATGGGCAAAATTTGATTGCTCGATGAGCCTTAGGTTGGCTTCCTACCTGCCGTTCATTGTTTTGGATCAGAATTTCCTCGATTCTCTTCAGATCTTCGGATTCCTCCATGGCAGCAAAATGCCAAACCGCTGACAATGTAAACAAACACTTGCTTCTGGAATGTTAGGTTATTCCCAGAGACAAGAAATAATCCCTTGTTATCCCTTGCACAGATCACAGAGGTTATTACTCTGTGATCTGTGGGCACGGGAGCGATCGAGAGAGTTGGCAGCATAAAGAAAATAGCAATTAAAAACCTCTATATTATTTATTATATTTGTATTTATTTACTTAAAACGAATAGGCCGATACAGACAATGTTTTATTTTCTCTATGTGCCCCAACTTTTTCTGAAAACTCCCAATCCTTATTAGTCAGCAAGGCAGCACTGTGCGTATGGATTGGAGGTTAGAAAAACCTCAGATGTGAATGTTTACCAACAATGCCGGCCCTTCTGAAACTTCTGGGCAATGCCCGGGCCTTTCTCGTAAGTTTTGTAAACGGTTTATTCCCAGATCATCAGGCTGCATTGCGCCCATAGAAAGCCCTACCTGCAGGACCGCAGCGCGTTCACTTTGCCTTGGGAAATGAGTCTTGCGACTTGGACTCCTGCATTGGGGCCCTGGCAATGGGTGTTTTGATCTCCCGGCGGCACCCCGACCGAGTAGTTGTGCCTGTTATGAATGTGACTCGGGAAAATTTTGCGCTTCGCACCGAGAACTGTTTTGTTTTAACACAGGCAGAAGTGCCGTTAGATGGCCTGATATTTCGGTATGTCGCCCCCAAGAGGCTTCGTATTAGGAGTTCTGGCGCTGATTAACCTTTGTAGAGATGAGTTGGATATGGATTTCATCCTATCCAAGTACCCAGTCTCGGTCTCCCTAGTGGATCACCATATTCTAGCCAAAGAAGATCAAAAGCTCGCGCCATATGTTGAGGAAATTTTCGACCATCGGCCAGTGGACACGAGCTACAGTTGGGACGCGCGGAAAGTGACAATCTGCATAGAATCCGTAGGTTCCTGTTGCACTCTGATAGCAAACTGCCTGTTGCAAGCACGGAACTGTTCCGATCTGGGCAGGCCTTTGGCGTACCTGCTTTACCGTAAGTAAGCGCCCCTTGAAAGCATCGGAGATGAACCAAATGAGAATTCTAGAGGTGATTGTTTATGACACGATCGCGCTGAAGCCTCAAAACCACAAGGCTACAGCCCTCGATATAGAAGTGGCTGCAAAATTGGAGACTCTGTATGGATTCAATGAGGACCATCAGGAGCTGTTTGATGGGCTGTGGAGGGCGCATATGGATGTCTCCCATTTGACCCCCAGTCAGCTGCTGCTGAAGGACCTGAAGCTGGTTGAAGGGGTGTATATTCCTGGTCTACCGATGCTAGTGGAAGAGTTTCTTGGACTGGAGGGCAGCCAGGAGGCGCTGGCAGATTTCGCGAAGCTAAAGCAGGTGGATGATTGGGGCCCTTGGCAAAACCAATTTTGAGGCTCGATGTTGCAGATCAGCGCCCTATTGCTGGTGGGGATGAGCACCTCCGGCGGAAGCGTACAGCGGGATTTGGCCGTGTATTCAAGTCCCCCAAAGGAGCCGCTGGCTGAAGCTTTACTCAAAACCCTGCTCAGTAAGCAGGCGGATTTTTTCCTCGAGGAAAAGCCCTCGAAGTTTGGGGCAAACATTCACCTGCTGCACCTGCACAATGTGCAGGTGTCTAGGAAGCAACTGGTTCCGTTGGTGAAGGAGGCCTGGAACGACTATACAAAGCGCCAATAAACAATTATATAGTTGTTGTATTGTAAAATCACATCAGATAGGAGGAATGGGTGAAGAAGAATGCCCTGAAGGTCTCTAAATAATATGATGATACGGAGCAGGAGTAGGCACGCTCATCAGAGGCGAATTGACATCAATGTCCATTTCCACCGGCAGCACTGTCTCTTCTTGGGCGTTAATCTTCTCCTGCAGCAGCTTGTAGAGATTGTGCACCTTTTCGCTGTGCTGATGAGTGGGGGCCACTGTTTTAAGCAGCGCCTGCAGCCGAGTGGCCGGCAGTTTACCGTGAACGTACCTGAAGCATTCAAAGTTAGGCATTGTCATGGAATAACCATCTACAGTCTTACCATAAGAGCTTCAACAGATGCCTAGTGACGTTGTCTCTTTGGAGACCGGCGGAAAAGAACTCGTCAAAGAGCGCCGTGCAGAAGTCTTCGGCTTGAAACTCGTCAGGATTGCTAATCAGCAGATGCACCTAGAAAACCGGAGTGTAACCGAAAAACTCTTTAGGGGCGCGCAGGAACTTACCAGAGAGTGCAGAAAAGGGTCCTCGAACGCCCTGTCGTCCTTGCAATTGGCCAGAACAGTCAAGATCCGCAGCAGGCCGACGCGATCTTTAGCTTTGGCGACATGCAGCGTATAGTACATCGCTAGGATGCTGGCCACAGTGCTGTCTTGAATATAAGCCTCGACTGCATCAGGCAAAGGCCCCGCATGCTCAATTACCGTTATCGCGGCCTCGCGCTCATCGGGGGGCAACTTTCCGGACAACTGGCGCACCTGGTCGTCCACCATCAGGCTCATGAGAGCCGGCAGGAACTTTGTCACCACTTGGCTGTCCAGCTTCGGCTCTTTGAAGTCCTGCGAATCGATCATCACCCACGCACTCAAGCCTAAAGCCAACATCCGCAGCAGCAGGATCAAAATGGTGTTGTCCCGCGGCAGGCTCTCGTTGTGGATTAGGTGATGCAGAATCTTGACTGCCGACAGCGCCAAAAAGTTTATCGCGTATGGGTCGCAAAGCGTCATGGACAAATCGCCCAGCACTTGCTCCTGGCCGCGTTTCACGTTGTCCAAAAATCCCTGCAGTTCCCTGGAACTGTACCAAACCACGTGAGTAGCAGGAGGGATAATTGCGCTAAAGCGCTCTACTAACTAACCGTTTAATGTCCACGTTCTTCTCCCGGATGCAGGCGTCCAAACACCACGTAAATTTGTGGCATGGATCGATGGAAATGATGTCTTGCACTTCCAAGTCGTGCAGGGCCATCAGCAGTTCGGCCCGCAGGGTGCAATAGTGTACAATGCGGGTTCGCAGGAAAAGGGTGCGCAAGAACTGCAGCACCATGTCATACAATTTGACGCTGTTACCAATCATGTGCGCCAATTTTTGAACAACTTCGCCCTGCCGACGCACCTAAAAGACAAGTTCAGCGTTAAAAAACGCAATGTTTTATCGTATATCAAGCACCTTCGGCGACGGTCCGAAGAACTGCGTGTTCAAATTGTGGTGGTCAAACAGCACGTTTTCCTTTTCAGTTATGTATTGGCTCAACAACGGGGACACCTCGTCCCCAAACAAAGACTGATTATCCTTCCAAATCTGCCGCTTCACTTCAGTGTCTAAAATCAGCTTGGATAAACCAGCTTTAGTTAAAACAGTATCTTTTACCTGTGTCGTTGTACAACTCCCTATCCCTGACCAGCACCTTCAAAAAATGGTCCTCAATCTGGGGAATGTTTTTCAGGATGGTCATCACAATGGGGCGCAGCGCCTTCACTTTGATCACCGGAAAACTCTTCCCTAGCAACTCCTTCAGTTTCAGGTCGCGTTCCTTGCCCTCGGTTTTGCCAATTTCATTTATATGCCCCGTCAGCTTGTCGCGAAGCGCCTAAAATCGCCACGTGGTCTAAAGTGGTGGATCATGTGGCTGCAAAGCGATTTTTCTTACCTCAACAACAGACATGTGGAAGTCCAGGCGTCGGACACCGTGCAGGTCCAACAGGGGCAACATGGGGCGCAGCGACGGCAGCAGGATCCCGTTAGTGACCTGAAACCATGGTGAATCTTCACTGGCCCCCTGATAAACCTGGGAGTTAGTTTACCTGGAACTCTTCGATGGCCTTCAGAGGGTCGGTGCAGCTCGTCAAGGCTGCTTTCAGGTAAGTGGGGCCCTGCACCTTGACCGCCTCCAGCGGAAACTCTGTGTGCCTCGCGGTAGAGGACATTTTAAACAATTAAGTAGAGACAAGTCTCTGAATTAACCTCTCTGGGCTTCACACACTTTCGCAAACTGGATTGAACATAACCTGGATGATGAGATCGTCTTTGTGACATTAGGGCGTGTCCACTTTTGTCATTACTTCAACTTCAAATCAAGCCTAGTTGGTAGTGCCAGTGCAGCTGTAACTCGTAAGTGACGTCACATTTAATTCAATACATATTACTAATATTTTCTGGAGGTATAGTTCGTATTTCGCATGGAGTAAAATTTAACTGGTTAACCAGCGTGTTTTAAAATAAATTCAAGCCATTTTCTCACATTCATCACATCAAATTCATTATTTCCATATCGATACATGGCTTACATTGGATCGACTAGCCCATCCCTACCTAATATTTATCTAAACGTTTAGTTCTCTCTGTCTTCATCTATGGTTTATTTTCATTCCGAACACAGACCTGCACAGACGTGACACAGACTTAGACAGACATACTACTCACTATTCTGACCGTGGCAGTGAAAGAGATAGAGTGCGGGTTCGACCAAGGCGGGAATCAAGTTAAGTGCCCGTTGTGGTTGTTTTGGACGTACCCGTTACGTTTCATACATCGATAAATCCGGGGGGATCGGCAAATAAGTGTGAAAGCGTTTCAGGTGATTAATAACGTTTAATTTCTTATTTAGTAAATATTAAATTTTTTTCGGTCTGTTTTTTGACTGGCACAATATGAAACTTGTCAAAGTCATCAAGCTTGTTTGGGGCTAAAGTGTTGAAAAGTTTCACGACAACAATGAACGTTAATTAACGTTAAGAACAAATTGCATTAACCTGTTCAGTGCCTAAATAGTCGTCACCATGATTTGAGCATAAACGGTGCATCAGTGAGCGGAATTTACGTTGTTGAATGTATTGATTCAGGTCCAGGTTATGTTTCCAACTTTCATAAGCATACTAGGTGTGTTGTTTGTATTTGTTTATTATTATTCTTCGCAATTTCCTGCCTCGTGTCGTGCCAAGGGCTTCAGCGCGAGCCCCGGTCTAGCTTAGCAACGCCCGATATCCAGAGCAACAGTGGTGAGCAAGTTTCCAAATTAAAAACTCACTTTTTGGCCAGTTCAAATCCACTTTGCTCACTTTGAAATCACTAATTGTCCAGTCAGCAGCTCAGACAATTTGGCGAATTCCGTTCCGTACTAGTCAGATCTTCGGTTTTGTGCGGTGAGCTAATCGTTGGTTGTTGGGTGCATTATCTGGGAATGGCAAGGGGCAATAATCAAACGTCTGCATAGTTGTCTGAAGCTCCCAGCTGCGAGTGGAAAGTTTCTCAAATCGAGCGTGTTTTTTAGATATTCAGTCGTGGTGGGAGGTTCCCAGCATTGCCCATTTCTGTTCCCTCTTCAGAACTGCCTTTAATCTACTAGACTTTGATATCGAGGTTAGTAACATTTCACCCCCATTGATCAGTAGATACTGGCTTCAACTGTGTCCTGAGTCCCCGATCATCAGCCCTCGATTTTCCAGAAAGCTGTAGAAACTTGCATGCGTATTAAACAGTGCTTTTGGTGCTTCTTAATAGCCTGAAGTCTGATTTAGGACTTGGAAGAAGCCCTACTGACTGACGGCACTGAGGAGACGTCGTGGCTGCAAGAGTTGATCGTGCGTCTTCTCAGTGGATGCCTTCCCAACAATGAAATCTCCACATTCAACTACCAGATGTTCTTGAGACGACTGTTCAGGCAAAAATGTCAGGAGCACGACCGATATAACCCGTTTAATACAGACTGTGACTTCACTTTGTTGCCACTGCGGACCAAAGTCGATATTTTGCACGCTCTATGCGACTTCCGTTTGGGTAAGCAGGCGCATACCTAAGCCCCTTTATCCGCGGAAATTCGCACAAACTACTACAAGCAAATTCGAAAATCAGATGACACAACAATGTTTTTGTTCAGACGCTGAAGACGTTCTAGACCAGCTGAAGAACCTTGAGGCAGACAGTTTGAGGGTGGAACCGCTGGGGTTCGACAAGAACGAGTCGGCCTATTGGTACTTTTACGGCACCCGGCTCTACCGAGAAGACTTTGAGAGGAAGAACAACAAGAAGAAGGCCGTTTGGCAGGTGATTTGCTTCACGGAAGACGACTGGTTCCAGGTAGGCACCGAATTCAAAGGCCGGCCTGCGTTACTGGCGCTGTTGCTTTGCAGCTAACGAAGAAGTTTAAGAGCTCGGGGACGAAGAACGAGCGCTTGCTGCACCACACTCTAAGCAAGAACTTCCTGCCGGAATTGCCCAGACTGTTTAAGGAAAAGGAGCGGCAAGCCCGGCGCCGTTTGCTAGAAAACCAGCCCAGGCGCACGTCCGATCGAATAAGGAAATTGGTAAAGCTGCTTCTAAGCCACAGAGCCCCGCGACTCATTGCCTGATCCATTTTCAGGATGCTGACGTGGTTGACAAGGAAGGTTCGTCCGAACAGCTCGCTTTGCAGAAAGACCAGCAGCAGAAGAAGAAGGAGCAGGACGAGCGGTAAGACTGGTAGTTTCCCCGCTAGCCCAATTTACCAACCATCTCTTTGGCAATCCAGAAGGCGAGACTCGTACGAAAATCGCTCCAAACTGAAAGAGTGCACTGAAGAAGGCGATTCGGATCGCGAAACGGAAATAAGGAATGAGATGGCATCGAAGAAAAAGGTCAAAACTAGGCAGCGACAGCCCTCAACTGACTCCGAAACCACCAAAGGTACTCGCGAGTCTTTTTCGCGCTACCGCCGGCTGTTGAACGATACGTTTATTTCCAAGATGCAGCACCAAAGCGCAAGAAATCGAGACTATGCGATAAAAACGAGGATCCACCCCCTGTCAAACTGGTGGGGCGCCAGACCAACAATTCCCTCTCCGCATTGGACGGCCAAATCGTCATCCAGCAAGCTGCGCCGCCTGCTTCGTCCAGCAAAAAGAAGCTAAAACCCTCACAAGTGTAAGTCCGGTGGTTAAATACATATAATTAGCAACTAACCGTTGGAGTGGTGGATCAGGTTTCAGCAAACCGATGAAGATCTTCTAGTCGGCATGCACAAGATCCTGGACTATGTGAAGAACCACGAAGATGCCTGGCCCTTTGTGGACCCGGTGGAAGAAGAGTACGCCCCAAATTACTACTCAATAATTCGCAGGTATGTTTCCATTGGCGTTCGTTAAGTCTCGGGATATATGAATGGAATTGCAGGCCCATGGACTTGACTAAAATGGAAGAGCGCTTAGACCAAGGCTACTACAAGGGTTACGATAAATTCAAGGGCGACTTCCAGTTGATCGTCAACAACTGCAGGCTCTACAATGGGGCAGAGAATGGTGAGTGTTCGCCCACTTTTTTCAGTTAGATTTACCAGTCGCTTCTCGCAGAGTACACCCTGATGGTGGACAACCTGGTGACGGTGTTTGATAAAGCTACCGAAAGGTTCCTGGATCAAATCTCCTCGTCCGACGAGGAAGTCGCAGTGGAAAACCTCGAGTGCGAAGACGGGCTTGAGGACAACAGGAGCGTGAAGTCCCTGAAGAAGAAGAAGCGGTCAGAATCGCCTCCGCGAACATCCAGCAGAACCATCAAGCCGGGTCTGACCGCGCAAGGGAAAAAGCGGGAAAGGCGAGTGAATGAAAGCGGGTGGTTTAGTGTTTGACTGTTGAGTTTTCAGGGCGTCTTCCCATGAAAGCGCGCAGGATGAACAATCGGAGCCGAAAACAAAGAAAAACAAGAAGCAAGAGAAGCCACTGAAAGCGGACCACAGGAAAAACGACAAAGTGTCTAAAAAGCCGGATAAAGGGTCGAGGAAGCCGGACAAGCAGGCAAAGAAGCCGGAAAAGCAGGCCGATGCTGCGGATGACCGCCAGACGAAGCAGGCCAAGGGGTCCAAGTCCAAGAAAGAAAACAGGCCAAAAAGCAAGGACAAAAAGGCGAAAAAGCGAAGTAAAAACTTGTGAGTTTCAAAACGTATCTGCGACGTTTTTCTATTGATTTTTCAGGTCATAAAAAGAAGAAGTCGGGCTCGATGCGGCCGAGCAGCTGCAGCAAAAGCTCCACGCCCAGCATCAGGAGCGCCATGAGCAGCCCGCCGCCTTCAAGCCCCGAAGACAGTCAACCGATGGACGATTCTAAACTTGCACATTCCACAGAGGTAACTAGGAATTGATCAATATCTGCGCACTGAACTGAACACATTATTCCAATTTTCACAAGGACCAGTCGAAAAACGCGGTAAAGTTCAAAAAGGCCACATTTCCATGGGAATTGACGTACTTTCCGGAAGACCCGCCGCCTGCTGGAAGTCCCGCAGCAAAAGACGAGGACGTCGAGGACACGGCGCCTTCGTCGCCGCAGGGATTTTCCTTCAAACCTGCCAAAGATAAGCACAACAAGCTGCGCGAAACCATCGAAAAGTTGAAAGCCAATAGTGAGATCAACAGGTGAATTGCTGTCGGATTTTTCCCGCAAAGCGATTTAACGCTGAGGCTTCATTGCAGGCTGCAAAGCCCCGTGTGCGAGTTCGAGGCGGACGATCAATTGAAGGAGAACAAGGACAAAAACAAGAAGAGCGAGGAGAGCAGCCCCAAGGCGCACAAAGAGAAGCCCAAGGCGAAGCGAAACAACCACCACCACCACCAGGAGCAGGATGGCGGAAAATCTGCCCACCAGCCGGACGTGAAAAGACCGGCAAAAAAAAGCCAACCGAGAGTGCCGGAAGTGTCACAAGCGGCGTCCAAACAGTCCAACCTTGAGGCCCTCAGCCTGGCCACCGAGCAAACTTTAAAGGACATCAACAAGTGGCTGGACGACACCCCGAAGTTTGACGACTTCAGCTCGGCTAGCAACTCGCCTTCGTATATGACGCTTGAGGAGTTTGATTTGCTTGGAGCGCCGCGGCCCATGGATATCAAAAAGGTACTGGTTAACCCCTGATGGACGTTTTTAAACCACCTGTCCCGGGTTCGGTTGTTTTAGGTTGAGAAAGTTGCGATGCCAGCCATGACGAACCCAGCGGCTGCGCCGCCTATCAAGCGGGACGGAGCTGCAGGGTCCGCAGCAAAAGAGGGCAAGAAGAAACCGTTCCGGGACCCGTCAAAGTTCTTCGGCAAGCGACGGGAAATTCAGCGAACCATCGACAGACTACAGCCAGGTTAGTGGAAATCGGCAGCACCAAACGTGCAGTTCCCGGAGGGATTGGGCTGTTTCAGGCAAGAGCAAGGGAAATTTGATCACGAACGTGCAAGGCGCTTCAAAGTCGGACGAAATCTTCCCGTTGGGCGCGCTCAACAAGATAAAGGATGCGAAAAACTCGCTGATCGTGAAAACGGACACCAATGCGCCGAAACTCAGCCTGGGGTCGGTACTGGACAGTTTCGGGAAGCACAAGTTCGTGGTGGACGACCAGAAGAAGGACGAGGAGGAGAGCAGGGCGGCCACTGCACCGGCGGACACAGTAAAAGAGGAGGACAAAGCCAAGACGGGCCTGGAGGCGGAAGCCACCAAAGAAGAGACAAAAGAGCTGAAAGCCGAAGGCGAAGTCAAGGTTGAAAAGGTTTGATTTCGATCACTGCAGGTTGAGAGGGTTTTGTTAATGCGCAGGGAAATTTCCAGGAAGTTGCCGATGCCAAGCCGTCTGTAGAGCCGAATGCTGGCGGCCCCACTCCCAATTTAAGTGCCTGGTTTAAAGCGTTCGGAACCCCTAAGGTAATTTGGGGTAGACCCCTCGGTCGATCACACGCCCAGCGCTTTAACTGCGTTTTCCAGGCGCCGCCCCCTCAAAAGAAGCCCGACAAAGCCGACAAGGCCGAGGAGGCACAGCCTGTCGGCGCCAAGTCCGAAAGAGTGCCGCCAGCAGACCCGTCGCCCAGCCTGGAAGGCCCTCAGCCTGTGGCAAGGGTGCGCCGCATCTCCACCGGGAGCAGCGTGTCGGAACGGTCGTCGTTCAGCCAGGATTTGGACTCGCCCAGAGTGGGCGTAGACGAAAGGGGCGCATATCTCGTCCCATATCCGTCTCCTCTCTATCGGTCGCCCAGCACCGGCGCTTCGCCAGTGACGGCGTCCCCGCGACCGGACATCTCGCCGCGTTCTCCCTATCCGTTCAACGGCGGCCAGATTCGCGTTGGCTTCTACCAGGATACTGCAGCTTCCAGCAAATCCAGCCCGGACAAGTCTTGCAGCCCGCGCGAAAACCCCCCCAACAGCCCCTTCTATCAACCAGGGTCCGAGCACGTTTATGCCCCCAACACGACCCAAAGCAGCTACAGGTAAACAGCGCAGATATTTTTAGCGGTGTTTTTTTTATGAGTAAAACTCCTGCAGCGGCTCGTATACTGCCACCAACCCCTACTACACCCACCCGCCGAGTTACAGCAGCACCAACCCGACGCCGCCTTATAACATGGATAGTTCCAGTAACGCCTACTATGATACGAAAATTGCGGATCACTACCAGGTAGGGTTCTGAGCAAGTTCGGGTTGTACCGGTTAAACAGTCGGGATTTCAGGCGAAGCCGTCGCAAAACTACACGGCGAACTCGCCGGCGAGCAGTCAAAACTCGCCCGCCGCCCAGCCGATGCTATCGCCGCACTCGCCCATGGTCCATCTGCCGCAGGCGTCGCCCAGCATCCACTCGCCCAACGTGCAGTCGCCCAGCATGCACTCGCATTCACCGCAGATGCCCAGCCCTGCCCAGTCGTTGCACTCGCCCGGAATGAGTGTGGTTTCGCCACAGGTGAGTGTCGCCACAGCCCATTGCAAAGACGCGCGCTGACTTGCTGCTTCTGTTCAGGTGGTGAGTTCGCCCGGGGTCCAGCACTCGCCCAGCATGAGCGTCCACTCGCCCTTAAACCCGGTAAATATGGAGAGTTTCCACTCGCAACCCGACGAAACCTCCAACTGCCAAGTGGCAGACCACAAAGACTCGATTAGCAACGTTCAACAGCACCAGGCAAGTGTTCGCTTATTATAGCGATACTGCAAATATACTACAGTCGTAGATATTCAAAGATCTACCGGCAATATTGCAATTCCCCAGTCGATTTTGGCGAAATTCGGATATGAACAGTTACGTCTATGTTTGATAATCAGGTGTTTCCGGTGAAAAAACGAGCCTTTCTGGACTCCGAGTTGTCGTCGCAGTTCGTCGCCCTGCAGGATGAAATGGCCAATCGCGGGCTGCAGCAGATGTCCTCCGAGCAGATGCACTTGCAGCTGCAACAGCAGGAGCAGTACCAGAAGCAGCAGATGCAGGAGGCCCAGAAGCACCACATGCAGGAGATCCAAGTCGCCCAGGAGCACATTAGGCAACAGGCGCAGCTGCAGCAGCAGAAAAATCAATTCATCATGCAGCAGCAGCAGCAGAAAAACCAGCAGGCTCTACAGGTGAGGGCAGTTGTTGCTTATTAGCAAAGTCCGCGAAATGAACGATGAACTGCTTTAGGAGCAGCAAAAGGCGCAACAGCAGCAACAGCAACACCAGCAGCAGTTGCTGCAAGAGCAGAAGACCCAGCAGCTGTTGCAGGAGCAGAAGCAGCAACAGCAGCTGCTGCAGCAGCAGCAGCAGAAGAACATCCAGCTGCTGCAGCATCAAGCGATGGCGGTCTTCGGCAAGGTGGCCTCCAGCGACCAGTCGCTGCGCACTCCTTCGCCGCAAAGTTTGTCCCATCAGGGCTCCGCTCAGCAGCTTCCCGGGCATAGCGGTGAGCCTTTTCCAACCCCCAATCCTGCATTCCTGTTCCTCAACCTCGGCTTCTGCCTTTTCAGAACCGTCTGCAGCCATCAGAAGCATGTCTTATCCAACATCGACTTCGACGACCAGCAGCCATCCATACGGCGCAAGCTTCAGCGGCCGGGACGGCTATGCGCTGAATGTGGCCAATAGCCGAGCGATGCAGCCGCCTCATCAGCCGAAGCAGGACATGTCCAAATTCACCAATATGGGTTACTCCGGCCCAGATGTGAATTTTTCCCGGAGCCTACAACAGCAGTATGCGCGGCCGGAACTTAGCTACACACGCACAACTGTGCAGTCGCCCATTTCGCAGGCCTCTCAGCTACTAAGTGAGCAACCTGCGCCCCTTAGTGGACAGCGATTCACGTTTGGCTTTGCAGATTCGCAGTCGCTGATCGCCAGTCAACCGTCAGCGTCGAGCGTCACCTCGTTGCCCGGCTACCAGAAGCCGCTGCCCAATCAGCAGCAAGCGCACAGTGCCACCTACCAATCAGGACGAGCTGTAGACTCGGTGGCTGAACGATTGGCTGCACAGGTGCAACAGGACGTCTCCGGGTAAGTGCCAAACCACAGCAACTGCAATGGTTTGGTTGGATTAACGCGCTTGTTGGCAGGTACAAGCAGGAGGCGCGCAACTCCTACAACTCGGCTCCTCTGGATCTGGAGCAGGCGCTCGGGTTGAGCCGCAACTTATCCAACATGGTCGACCGCTACAGCAATGAGCAGCGCATGATGGCCAGCTTGCAGTCCGCCCCTGGATCTTACTATAACGATAAAGGTTCGCAGAACGGCGCTAATAAGCAGCGGCTAGTGACGGGCGGTTTTCCAGCCTTGAGCACCTCGCACATGTTCAACAAGCAGATCTTCAGTCAGAGCAACATGGCAGCGATGAGCTACAGCCACCAGCAGCAGCAGCAGCAGCAACAACAGACGCTGCAACAGCAGTCGCTTTATGGGCGGCAGCTGAACGCCGAGCTGCAACCGCACGACTTGAAGCCTTCTATGCCTGCAGCCCCGCCGGCCCCGCAGGAGAAGAAGCAGCGGAAGAAAAAAGGGTCGTCCAAAGGTAATAGTCGTATGCAGGATGTCCGGAGATGATTAATTGCTTAGACATGCACGGATTGCGTGGCCCCACTAAATCCTGGCATGCGTAAGCGCCCTTTCAAGCACTTGTTGGATGTATCAAACGAGATAGACTTTCGAGGCCATTCCTTGAAACTTATGGGTTTTTAGGCCGTCGTTCGGTAGAATTTCTTCCTGACGTTTCGCAAGCACGAGTGGCTTGCATCTTCAGAAGTGGTTTGCTTGAACGCTTAC